GTTTAAAATTAGGCTTAGTTGGTAACCTGTGTTCTACCAAGTCTCTATCTAAACCAGGCATTTGTTCATATTCCCAAGCAAAACAATCTTTGTACTCTTTTAACAAAGCGATTAATTTGTTACTAACCTCTTGGTCGAGCATCTGGCTGATGAACGTTAGGTGATCTTCTCCTTCATCGCCAATATTTACTTTGATCAGAGGGTCTTGCGCTTGAGCGTATCCAGGTTTGGCAATCCGCATCACTTCGTCGTCCAGTTCTTTTGTAAGTACTTCCTCTTCCAAACAGTCCACCTTGTTGACTTCTCGGTCAATGTTTTGCTCTAACTCGAATATTACCAACTTGTCCTTCAGTGCTTTTAGGGCAGTCTCTTCCTTCGCCTTCGCCTTGTCACTGCATTCCTTATTGAAAGCCATCAGTCTGGCTTTGAAGGCCTGAATGTCGGCCATTTGCTTTTGTAACTTAAAGTCCATTCAAAACTCCTTAATTATTCTTTTGCCAATTACTGGCTCTTCTAGGGCCACTATATTTGGCCTCATCTGTTTGAACATCTCAGTGAGTGCATCCACTGAGAATGGTTCTTCGCTTTGCGCAACAACCTGAGTTTCTTCCCCGTCTTGTACTACTCTGACAGGTCCATAGTTTCCTTCGTACATGAACTTTTTCACCGAGTTTGCTTCCGCGACAAAAGGCCTATGATCGGCCTGTACCACCTCTGCTTCGCCTTTGTCATTCCAAAAAATTAGGCATTGATGGAGCGACGAGGGTATACAGCGACTTCCGTGTATCCAATCTCTTCCTAGGAGCACGTTGTAACTAGTAGGACCATCTATTACAAAGAAGACAGTGGTCCTAGTAGTCGTACCTATAGTTATGTCTAATGGCATAACTCCCTTAGCTGAAGTTGCTCCTCCATTGAAACTAGTGAGGATGACTTCTGTAGGAATCATGTCACCCTCTGTTTTTGCGAACTTTCTCATCATCCTAGATGGAATAGTGTTTATAGCTGCTCCATTGTCGACAAGCACTTTTGCCACTGGGACGTCGTTAACTAGAGTTTTAACGTATAACGGCCTCAAGTGTTTAGTCAATTTCATGGCTGGCCGTTTAAAAATAACCTTTTCGACAGCCTCTATTTCTACCTCTTGCTTGTTTTCTGTCGAATTATCCCCCTCTCGACGTGTAGTACGTCACGCTGATCCTCTATCTCTTGAACTTCCTTCTTACTTTTTTCTAATGCTTCCTCATCAGTTATCCAACCTGTGGGAGGAGGCATTATTCTTGGAGGTGACCCATACTTTTCAGAACGAGGCACTCTCTTCTTCCTTTTGGGTGTCCCGTACAGTACGTAAAAATCGAAAGGGCGCCCAGATGGCTCCCCCAACAAGTCTACTTCGCGAATTCCCTCTTGATGTAGTTGCTTAAACAGAGTATTGCGCGATACTCCTCTCTTTTTCCTTTCTGCTTCTAGATCGATTTCTTCTTCAGTGTCTGTCATCCCATCATCCTCCTCGTCGTTGTAGGCCTCTCCAGAAGCCTGGCCTTCTTCACATACGAACACGCAGGCTTCTCCTTCGTTGTCCTCCCCCTCTTCTTCCTTTTCCTTATTCTTGAATTCATTGGCCAGTTGGTAATTATTGACCACGACAGAAGGCAACGTACCAAATTGGATAGCAAGGGGCTGATTTGGATCTTCTTCATCCCTCTTGTCCCTCTCAAACTTTGATCTCCCAGAAGAGGTTTCTGGCAATTCCTTCATTGATTCATCTGTACCGATTTCTTTACTACCTTTGAGGACGTTTTGATTAGCTACCTTGAGTAGTATAGGCGCTTTAGGATGTGGCATTCCTTGTTGCTGCCTCATCATCCGTCTGTAGTTTCGTTGGAAACGCCTTTGTTGGGTCCTAGTCATCTCATCGAAGGGTATTGCCCTTCCTGCACTGTACTGGAATGAATGCCATACATTTGGCCGGCGAGGTTGCGGCCTAAATGTTCTTCCAGTATCTGCTGGTCTGAACTGCCTTTCAAAAGGCGGTCCTCTATAGAATGATGTACCTCACCCTCTACTAGGCTGAATGTTTGGGAAGAAGGCAGGGCGATGAGAATGCTGCCATGTCCCTGGTTTCTCCGTATTTCCATTTACTTCCCCTTTACACCTTGCACACAGGACATCCTCGTCCTTTTTTGGTTCTTTTCCTTTGATTCATTCAAAGACGCTGGGATGTGGTCTAGGATCTTCTTCTCCGTCATTTATGACCAATTTGAATTTTGGTAACTTGTTCTTGAATCCAGATGTTACCATGTTTACTCCAAGTGGCTGTGGGAAAGGATTCTCGTCCACTGCCATCTTTTTCTTATCATCGAACGTAATTCGTCCTGATTCAATAGCATCTTGCAATACATGACGGAAAACCAAGCAATTGTTAGTCAGATGTGACCATGCATTATGCTATTTACAATATTTTTTACCCTTAATTTGTTCAGGGTTTGGCAATTTGTGCTTATCGCTCAACTTTATCTGCTTATCCCTATATAATTTATCGAATATAAGGTCAGCTTTGGTCACGTCGAACGAGAACGTTCTAGCCTTTATGTTTCCATCCTTTATGGGCTCATCTCTACCCAATGGTCTAGGCTTGTCCATTATGGGACAAGTATATGTGTCCCCTTTGACCAATTCGGCCAAACACATTTCGGCCTGATCGTATGACTCGTCGTCAATGGTATGAACGTTAAAATTTGGGTTTTTGTAATAAGTCCCTTTACTAGAATTTTTCATTTGTTCCTCCTCTCTTATCAGTCGTTCATACCTAATCACATTCGCACTCAACTGAAAAAGGTCAGGGAATTCTTTGTTCTGGAACTTCTTTTTTAAATCGAAGCTCAAGCAGCCTTGAGCGATCTTGACAAATTCTTTTTCAGGCAGAGGTACAAAACACTTACTTCTTGCTGTCTTGAACCTTTGGAGAAAACTTTCTGCCCATTCATTTGGCATTTGACGTAAATTCGCCAAATCCGCCAAATTGACTTCAGACTCAGTTTTATAAAACTGAGTGTGAAACAACTATTCTAATTGCTGCCATGTTTGAACAGAGTTCACGGGCAAGTTGATGAACCAGGAGAAAGCTACTCCTGTTAACGAACTAGGGAAAAGCATCATTTTATGGTAGTCGGTTACATCACCACTCTGCAATGTGAATCGCCCTATGTGTTCTAGAGTAGACACCTCTCCTAAACCGGTAAACAGTGAGAATTCTGGTACTTTATACCCTCTAGGCCATGGATATGCTTGGTCTACCCAATCAGGATACGATTTTGTGTACGTTGGCCTGATGACGGGACGTACCCCAAAAGTCATCTGATCCTGTACGATTTCCATAATCTGGTTCCTCAACATGGCGTTGGGGTCATATGGGATTCCTACAGGCTGATTAACCAGTTGATTTGCATGAGGCCTGATGTTTGGTCCTTGATTGGCAACAAAATTACCATAATTAGGGCCATTACCATTAGCCTGAACACCTGTTCCCTCATTAACACGTGGGGTCTGCTGTCCATTGTTTAGGACATTATCTCTTATGTTTGGATTACCCCCCAAGTTAGGCGTACTACTATCATTGTTCTGATTTGGCATTGTAGTACCTCCTTGGTTTGAAGTAGAGGGATCAGAAAGCGGTTCTACCCCTTAACTCAGATTTAGGACCGAGGGACTATGTCCCACAATTGTCCTAGTTTGAAAGTGGTTTGTAAGAGGTATAGTCGGTTGACATATTTGGCCTACTAACTTATTCATTGTCTCGTTCAATGTCTTTAGTAGTTTGGCCATGTTGTCATAGTGCATATTCCCATTTTGAGTAAATCTTTCCATATTATGAATACTTCGAAGATTTACCTGTTCAACAACGTCTTGCGTGAGTTCTCCAAATAATGCTCGCATGGTTCGAGGACTCAACTCCGTCATTGGTTCGTAACGACTGTTACTGCTCTGGTTCTGTCCATCTGTTCGTGGAGAGGCATGCTGCTCCTCATATCGCTCGATCACAGACTAGATTCCTCCCTGACTTTCTGCTTCCTTATCGGATCTCTAAGGCATATTATTTCCCCTTTTGTACTTTCAACACCTAACACCACTGTCCTACTGGGCGTGCCAAAATGTTTCGCGCCGGTTAGTCGCTAACAATTAAAAGGGGTCAGACGATTGTGTAAGGGACAAACCTCTTGAGACAAAGTCCCAAAAAGGAGTGTTCTTTTATTGGTGATGAACTTTACAATTGGAAATGAAAAACAATGTGCCTCCAAGGGGCGCAAGTACACGAGTTACAGAAAGAAAAGTGTTTAAGTCTAAAAACTAAGGAAATGAAAATTACATATTCTCTGTTCGAGAGTTTTGGATTCGGTCCTTGCTTCTATGTCCTTTCTCCCTTTTATACTTTATAGACGATCTCTTTGTGATTAACTACTCTAAAAACTGCTTGATCGTCCTATAACTACCCACTTTCTTCGTAGTGGCCATTTTGTCATGAAAACTGCCTTTTAACTGCTGCCATTACCTTTCATCGTTCAACCGCTTTCGATTGAATTCCTTGAATCGTGGAACGTGACAGGGCTGCTTTAACAACTGCTTTGATAACTGCACTTCTTGATAACCACGATGCGTTATGTTTGTTAATACCTTGGGCGACTTGAAGGTTTGGGCGAGAATAGAGTAACAGCTCTGGGCGACCGTATGACATTCATTCGTTCAGATTCTGGGCGACTTGCAAACTTGGGCGATGGCGTTACCGCATTCTTGGGCCTCCTTATTTGGGCCTTCATCTTGATTTGTTCGATTGTGCTTCGTTCTTTGGGCTATCTGATTTGGGGACCCTCCAATTGGGCTTCATTTCTTGGGCTGAAGTTTTATGTGTCAACACATATGCGCACATATAATTTTTATAGAATTTTATGAAATAGAAAGAAAATAAAATACATACAAACAAGAAACAAATACAATTAATTTACCTTTCTCTACCTTCCAAATTCAAATTTATTTCACCACAAGAACCATCAATTTCCATGCCCTCTGTCACCAACTCTTCACATTCCACCTCCATGCACTCCTCGTCTTTCATGGTAAACCAAACTGATCCCGGCTGCAAATCCGCCACAGAAAATTCATTTTCACAAGAATCACGAGAATTTGACGCCGGCGGAGTGGTGGTGGTGGCTGTCCGGCGGACACCAAGAGAGGACGGCGAGACTTCCTTCATGGGCACGTTTCCTGTTGCGCTAAATTTCTTCATGAGCCTGCCCATTTTTCTAAACTTTTCTGCTATGTACGTTCTTCAGACTACTAGTGCAAAAGTACAGAGAGTTCAATTCGTGCATTGGGGGGAAAAGAATTTATGTTACTATGCAACCTATTGGTAGCAATTTTTCACCCAAAAAAGTAAAATTTTTTTACCGTTATTTTATTATTCTAATCATCATTTTTTTCTTTTTCAATTACAGGAGGAAATTAGCACTTGTTTGATTTTCATTAAATTACATTACATTACATTTTACTTTTCTCTCTCCTATTTTCAACCACACAATCTTACATAAAATAATATTACACGTAAATCGAAAATTTTTCTTTCTTTTTCAACCACTCATTTTTCAAAAAACACTATTCTATATATTAAATTTTCCCCTTAATGGGGGCCAAACAGGGTCTTAATTTTCTCTCCAACAATCAAAAAATCAATTTTCTTAATCATTACCGAACAGATTGAATTTTAATGAGCGACGTTATTTAGTCTCATTGAAGTTGTAATCTCAATTTAAATGTTTGGAGTTGCAATCTCAATTTAAGTACAGAGTCGGACCTGGTGGGAGGCTCAAGAGGCCTCCGCCTCATGCCTAGAATTTTAGGAGCCCATTTTTTCACAGTTTTTTTTTTTTTTTGGAAAAAAACTCACTATGCCGCTGCGTTCAAAAGAAACGAATAAATACTTTAATGAGAAGAGAAGGAATACCGAAAAATTTATTTGTTGCTTTATTATTGATTTAAGTTAACAAATTTAATTCCGTAAACTTCTAATTTTTTATTTTATTTTTTTTAAAAAAGGGATTGTTTGCTACGACTTAAAGCCTAGGGCCCAAATTTCGAAGTTCGCCTCAGGCCCCGTGAAGCACAGGTACGACACTGTTTAAATATCGCTAAATAAAAGCTAAAATTAAATGAGTCATTAATTCTACTTGTCATTTAGTGCAAATGTAACCCAAATTGGGGTTGGAACCCCAATGAACTATATAGCATTATTCAATTTTAATTGCATTCAGAGTTATCGATCTATTTTCATTGTCTCACTTATAGTCAAAAACTTTTAATCAAATTCTTATCCTCGATCTTCTGTTAAAATTTTAGTCCTTAATGATGATTTTTGTCCGAATATTCAGTTTGTGTTCTTTGAAATTAAACAAAAAAATTTTGTCACACTTTTCTATTTAGTTTATTATTTACTTATTTAAAAATAGGAGGGAAAGTCTTTTTATGTCCTTCTAAAAAACATTTTGAATATAAAACCATTATTGAAGATAAAATGTGTTATTTGATGGGAAATCGATGATAAAAAATTGATCAAAAATGTTTGGGACATAATTACTACAATAAGCAAAGTGAGAGCCTTTAGAGTAATTAAAACGTGATTAAATTGTGAAAATTGTAATGTGATATATATAATTGCCCTTATTTTTATTATCCAAAAATTGTAATTATTCCACTTCAATCTCCATAATTTTAAGTTAGTTGTAGAATTAATCTAAAATAATAGAAATGTTTAATAGTTGTAAACCTTTGACGTTAAATGAAACAAAATATACAAAAATCACAAAATTAGACTACGTTGAAATGCCGAAGACCAATTTACTACATTTTGAAAATGAGATCAATTTACCACTTAACAATCGTTTTTATAGGGTAAATTGGATAATATATTTTAATTTTAATTCTATCCTATGATTAGAGTTTATGCAGAGTTGTCCTATGAAAATTAAATTGAATAAATTTCTCTCCAAATATTTCGGTAAGTGTTGACGTAGTCTTTACAATTAATAATTTCATCTGTCATTGATATTAGAGAATTGGTCACAGCGTACGCTAGTTCTAAAAACAGTGAGCAACGTACAAGTTGTGTTCTTTCATTGAGAAGCATACACAAACACAAATTGTACATTAATCGAGAAATAATCGTCCTAGATCGGTGAATTTTTTTAGGACCCTAGCATAGTGGTGTGAAGAGTTAAATTATACATGATTGCTTTGTTGATTACCTAATCTGTATTGGAATAGTGGTTAGTGAACTCTACTGTATTTGTTGTACTAATGAGTGATCTAATTATATGGCTGAATATGTCTACGCGTTGGGAGCCGAAAGAAAGCGAAGTAGTGAATAGTGATTAACGTTTAAAATCTGTCATGTGGATGGACAATGAATCTGCTTAAGTATTTTCTTTCGAGCAGTTTAAATTTGAGCCCAATTGTTAGTTACAGAAAATTGAAATAGTGGAAATTACACAATTCTCTACTTTAAAAATTCACAATTCTAAAATAAGATGGATAGTTTAACTTTTCAAAAATCAGATGTTTTATTTTAATTAATAATTTTTTTATTAAATATATATATACTCCGTTATACACACAAATCCTAATTAATTTCCCGATATTCTCTCTCTACATTGCTCTATCGTCTCTCTCTCCCTCTCTATTGCCTGAAGAAAAACGCCAATATTCCCACCTAACCCATATTCACCCCCCCTCTCTCTCTCTCTCACACACACACACATTTTTCTATCTCTTTTCAATATCTCGACTATTGGAAAACTTTCGTCGGAAGTCGCTGCAAATGTGATTGCTCCGATGACGCGTCGTAGCTACCTGCGGTGTGAGCGGCTGCTCAAATCGAAAAATTTGGGGAAATTTTGGTCAAGATCTGATTGTGATTGCGGCTACTCAACCGAAAAATTTGGGGAAAATTTGGTGCTGAAAATTTTTGGTTGAGGTCTTGTTGGCTGTGTGCAGTTGTGTTGGTGGTGTTTGCGGTGCCTTGAGGCGATGGTGATGTTAGTGGTGCTGGTTGTTTTTTGGTAGATGAGAAGGAAATGGTTGATTTAAGTTGGTTGTGTTGGTGAATGTTGAAACAGTCAGTGAGTTGGTGGTAGTCGCAACGCAACGACATCGAGTTTGGGGATTTTTGGTGGTGGTGCAGTGTTGTGGCAACGACAACAGTGACGTTGAGTTTGGGGATTTTTCGGTGGTAGTGCGGTGCTATGGACGCGGTGTGCAATGGAAACTTGGTCGATAGTTGAGCTGGATTGGATGGTGGCGGTGGTTCTTGCAGCTATGGTGGTGTTGGAGGCGGTGGTAAAGTGATGGTCACAAGTGTTAGTAGTGATCATAATTATTTGGTTAATTGTGACAATTAAATAGGTTAACATGTGACCAATAAACAATATGTGACTAATAAAAAATATAAATTGTGACAAAAAAAAAATAATGCGTGACCTAAAAAATTATTAATTTGTGATCGATAATTTGTGACTATATAATAATTTGTAACTTATAATATTTGTGATCTGTGACTTATAAATACACTGTGACATATAAATTTTTGATTTGTGATCGATGAACAAATTTGTAACCTACGAAAATTTTGAATTGTGACCTTAAAATAATTTGTGACATTAAAAACTCTGATTTGTGATCGAGAAATAATAAGTGACTAACTAATCGTTAATTTGTAACCAAATTGTATAGATCTCTGACCTTAATATATTTAATGAATAAAATATATAATTAATTTATTAAATTATAAATAAAATTTAATCAAATATTTGATTTTTGAACTTTGAAACTTTTATTCTTACTTTTAAAATGGATAATAGTTATCCTCTTAGCCATGAAATTTTCCCATTGAAGTAATATTACTTCTTTTATATAATTTGAGGGTGCAATATAGGGTATTTAGTGGGTGAAGGTAGATTGATAATTGGACTGGACAATCCAAATCGGAGAGTATGAGCCCAATTATTGGAACCTGTATTGGAAGTCCTGATTAGGTCCCTCTGGCTATCTGATTGGGCCAAAAGTTGATAGGAGTAAACCCACCAAAAATCAAACTCGAATTGACCGGTCAAAGTTCAGGCTGACCAAGCCAAAAATTGAGTTTTATTTAGCCACAATCATTATTTAGGAAAAATAAATTTGTGAATAGTGATTTTTAGGAGAATGTGCGATTAAAAAGTAAAGAAAGGTATTGAATTTACTTATAAAATATTTTATTATATAAATATGTGGTTGAAAATAAGCATGTAGAAAAAAAAAATTTAAAAATAATGGTTGTCAAACAGGAACTTATAATAAAACTTAGATGTTAAGGTACGTACTATCCAATCATGTTGGAACTATAAGTTGTTTAGATCTCACTTGAATTGCTTGAGCTCTTGATTGTGAAGCAAATTCAGAGGTGAGAGCCATTCATATTGCATGAGAGGAGTCACAGTGAGCAACTTGCGCAAGGGCCTCATGAGTGAGGGATGCATTGAGGCAGCAAAGGATCAAGTTATCTCGAGTCTCCGATGTTTCAAACAAAGGGTCAGAAAACTTAGTCATTGGAATGAGTTCCAGAATTGTACTTTTCTTGATCTCCTTCGTCTTAGTGACTTCGGATTCCGATCTTAACCTGTCAGCAAAGAAGAATTTGTATTCCAATCTGAATCCGGTGGCCTTGCTTCACTATATCAAGATAAATTGAATGAAATTTGGAGAATTCATTCAAATTACCTACTAAAGAATCGTCGAACAGAAGAGAATGACGTCAAAGGGGTTTGCCCCGGGGGGGGGGGAGAATTTTTTTTTTTTTTGTTTGTAATAGATAAAAATTTTAGGTTATATAATTAATAGTTCATTTTATTTCCAACCCTTCCTTCTGCTTAGTTAGTTAGAGCTTCCTTTTATATATTGTAAGTCTTGGGTTCGATTCCTTCCCCTCCATTTCCTTGTGTAAAATTTTTATTTTTACAATATTTACCAAAATTAATTCTCTAAGAAAAGGATTCGAACCTATAATTTCTAGAGTTAGGATGATTGAAAGCTTAACCATTATGGTAATGGTTGAATTTTGATTCTAAATTTAACAAAATAATATATGTTAAGACTTTACAAAATGTTTTTTTTTTTTCGTTTTAAATATTTTATGCTTTAATAATTTATAAGATATGACTTATAAGTATTGAATTTTAATTTATATATTATTT